GGCTTTGGCCAGATTGCTTGAATATTTAAATGCCACTTATTTCTTAATAGATAGCTGCAGCTATTATGGCAATCCAAGAAGCTTGTTTTTCTTGTTTCTGGTTGAAAGGCAACTTTGGGAAACAACTTAAAAGACTTTTCTCAGTCAGTAACACTTGCTGCTAGCACAGCTTCCACAGATGTCAATGAAGCTGGATCCTCAATGAGCGAGTTAAAACAAAAACAAAAAACAAAACCAGAAAGAAGTAGTTATTTGGAAACAAATGAACATTGGGACTAGAAATCCATCTAATGCCCCATATTTGTACAGTATACCATTCAGTTCCAGGCTTTTATTAATTACAGCAAATCAGGTGGAAGGAAACACGCTTTTGAATGAAACTCTTAATTTCACTTATTACATCTGCTTTCAAACAACCCCCCCCTTTTTTTTTTCTTTGCTTGTGTAGCAAAAAAGAAGTCAGGGAAAGGAAATTGACTTTTGCTACAAATGCTGATTTTATAAGCACAAAAGCCCAAACTCTCAGAAACTTTTGCATTGCTAGACTTGTGACTACAAAACTGTTCTGCCAAAGTAATAATTTGTAAAGTATGAATTCTGCCTCTCAGAATTAGCTGCCGTCTCCCCAACACACACACACATGCTTAAGAAGACCAAAGAAGTCAAACTATCAGCCAGGAAGGCTTTACACTTTATCATATTTCTATATGACATCTGGGGATTTGTTTTGGAACAATTGCGGTCATGATTTAAAGATTCCCTTTAAGCATGCTCAGATTCTTTAGGGCCATACCATCTGCCCCAGACTTACATGAAATAAACAGAGTGACCCCTTTGCATGTTTATCTGGAAGATACGTCCCACTGATTTCACTGGGACTTCACCTGGCTGTAGGAATACGATTTAACATGGGTCTCATTTCTAGTGGGGAATGGATTTTTCAGCCATAAGTTATAAACTAAATTGTGGGTTTAGGCAGTCTAAATACAAACATATATATCACTTAACTAAGTTCAGGTAAGTCTAAATATGAAGCATATTTCTAATTTCTAATTCTGCTAGAGAAACGTAGAATCATAATGATTCTTGAGCATTCAAATGTGATTTCTGAAACCCAGTCTTAGATATATTAACAGCAAATGGAACACTGAAAAGCTATCTTGAGTCCTCACAGTAAAAGTGATTCCCATTCTGTTAGTGACTTCTGAGCTTTTGTGGACTATGCAGAACTTTCCACATGACACCTTGACATGAAACATTTTCAGGATTTGCTTTCTCATGTCTCTCACTGGCAAAAGTCTTGATTGTATTCTGTGTTTACACACCAAGGAGCTCAAAGACCATTGAAGATTTGTGGGGATTATTTTGCTCTCGAAGGCAGTTTTTTCCAGCCTACTTCTAGACTTGTTTACTCAAAAGTAAGTCCCACTGGTTTGAACATGATTTACTCCAATCTATGTGCATAATCTATTTCCTACAGTGCAGTCCTCTAGAGAGATAAGCTGCTTAAATTGTGTTCAAGTGGCCAGTTAAGCAAGCTGTACACCAAGTTTCCTGGCATATTGCAGATTTCATTAAATTTAGTCAGTGTAAACTAGAGGAGATGAGCACTATGCAAGAGCATGCAAAAGGAAATGCTAACTTTGGTGGAACTGAATGCCCTCCATGCACAATGCACGTAGGCCCCCAAATTTGGAAGAATGTGTTTATCCAGTGCCAGGCACAACACCTCACTTCCTACATTTCCTCTACATAGCCATGTAGATGAAGCACCAAGTGGCGAATGCAACACTATTTGGATATGGTGTACACTGGGGCCCCAGCCTGTTGCAGCCCCCCCTTTTCCTTCTAAGGCCAAGTTCTGGCCCCTGAGAGGCAGCCAGGATGGTTCTTTTTGCAGGAGAAAAGGGGTGAGGTGGGGGTCCTCATCTGGACTTCCAGCTCTGGGGCTTCCAGAATCTCATAGCCAGGACTCCACTAATGCCCAGACAATGTTGGGAGGCCATAGGATTGCACTGGTATTTCAGGTCAATTTATTTGACTTCCTACATGCATCACTAGATTGTTGTACAAATGCATTCTGTTTTCTAAGTACTGAAAACTGCTGCTATTTTCTATAGGTTGCAACAAGTGACACAGCCATACAAGCATGCAGAGCAAAGTTTGCCATGTCACTGGACAAGGAGATGTTGCTCCCAGGCCCCAGCTTCTAGTGATGACTACTCCTGACTACTGGTTTCCCAACAGGACCAAGAAGGGTGAAGCTTCGGCCAGGACCTTTGCCATTGTGTGGAGGAACAGTTGGCCAACCCAGCAAGCGCTCCAAGTTCTTCGGAGTCTTGAATGGCTTGGGAAGCATTCTGAATCGCTGCTTCCAGAAGCTGTTTCCTTTCTCCTCCTTCAGAACCAAGTCTTTCACTCACCAGAGTTGTTATTGTCCTAAATGGCATCAGTGAACTTGATCTGGATGCCCAGAACTACTCCCATAAAATTTACAGATGCTTGGCACCCTGAAAAGTACAATATCCAAAAGCACCTGAGAGGGAAGTACCATTGATCTAAATCTGGCCAGAGTGTCATGCTAACCAAATGCTAGCATTTTAAAACAGTTCATATTTTTTGTGAATTGATAGGCAAAGATGACCATCTAATTTTGTTCATACTAAGAAGACTGCATTTGAATACAATTAGAACTCTGAGTGGGAACTCTGAGATCGTAACACCCCTATCCATGTGGGGCCGTCCTTTTTTAGATGTACCATCTTTGCAAAAGCAGAAGATCAACAGTTTGTACCAGAAGGAAAACATGGACACTCATCTTAATTAATTGTGTGGGGATAGGCTAAAGGCAGAGTGCCATTATCAAATATTCAAAAACCCATTAACCATCTCCCAGCCTACTTTTTCCTTAGATTATATTTACACACCAGGCTTTCAAAATCTGAGCTACCACCGTGTAAATAAGACCTCTTTGATCCATACTTCAGTGCAGGTATTACTGGCTCCAAACAGCAAAAGAGTAGGAAGTGGTCTCAAGTGTTCAGTGCTGTGTGTTTCTAGCTGCATAGTGAATGGAGGCGTGCATTTTTGGTGATAAATGAAGCAAACTGAAGCAATCAGTGGCAAGGGCCAGGCCAGACCTATGGTGGTAACTGACACTCCGGTCCTAAGCACATGTACTTAGAAGTAAAGCCCGTTTAATTTCCCATGGAACAGACCCATATGGATTTGACAGGGTCAATGAAATAATACCTTTATTGCGACCAACTGATATTTATCATGCCAGCAGGAACATGATCTGCTCATAATAATGGCAGTGTTTAAAGGTAAGTGGCTATTTTACTGAACCTGCTATTTTGTTATAACAGAGCAACATGGCTATCTGATTTCTATTTCCAAGAGTGTTCTGTCCAGTCTTTAGTTATATTAACGGAATACTAAGCAAATATGGGATCAAGATGCTGATGCTGGGACCCACACAAATGAAAGCAATGAGATAAGTAATAATTCCTATGCTTGGAAAATAATGGAGAGTGGTAACCAGAAATATATACAAATTACATGTTATAGCAAGTACAAAGGAGAGTCTCTGAGCATCTTAAAGACTTGTGGCACAGACTAATGCCCATTTCATTCATAAATGAACCATTATTCTATAAAACACAAGGAGAAACAGACTTTTTTGTAAATAATGTAAGGTTGCAATCCTGTGTGTTCAAACCAAACCAACCCACCCCCCCCCTCCCCACCCAATGGCTTCCAGCATTCCCCAGTCAGCATGGCTGGCTGCAGAATGCTGGAAGTTGTAGGGTTTTTCACTGCCTAAACAGGTATAGGATTGCTCCCTGTGTCTAATTCTGTAAATGGAAGTCTCTCTCATCCCCCCCCCCTCAGTCTGTGTGTTGCTGCATGTGCACATGAACTTCCAGTCTTACTATTCACTCCATACAGAGCACAAGTCCCTGTAACCACTCTCCTGGTGAAGCACCTTAAGTCTATGGAAGTAGATGCTACACTGAATCTTGGACTCTTTAAGGTGCCACAAACTTCTCCTATTTTTCAGAAATGTAAACCTACATGATGCCAGGCCTTTTCATTGGTGGCTGTATGGCTGGTTTCATAAACCCACTAAATTCTTAAAGAAAGCTGATCACACATTAGATATAATGGGATGAGATTGGTCTTGCCTCATTCTGGTCTGTCAACAAGCCACAGGAAAGTGAAAGAAACAGCCACCCATTAGGTTTGGATTTTGTTGCTAATAGCTCCTTTGGCCCCTTCTCTCCCCAAATCTATTTGGCATGTTGCATGCAAGCACACACACAGGTCACATAGTACTCATGGAGAGCTAGCTGAGGAGACGCAGAGGTTTAGTTAGTCCCAGACTGTTCTTGTTAGCCATGCACGCCTGCAGAATGCAGCCCGGGCTTGAAGCACCCTCCATGACCACTGTGGCAAGCCAGAGGCCCTGAAATGTACCTTCCCCATCCACTGCAGCTACATGGAGAAACCCAAAGCGGATGCACTGGGGACACACCAGTGAGAATCAGCCAGCACACAGTCCTGGTGCTGACACATTCCAGTGAGCATCATGTGGGAAAATGTCGAACATACTTGTTGAATGCAGGGTTTCGCCGATTTTCCTCTTCTCTCCTTCCTTCCTTAAACATTGACACACAGTGGCTAAGCTGCTGTGCAATTAAAAGCAAACTCACACAAAGGCTGTCCTCCTGGAGTGCATCTGCCTCCATTCCTTGCCGAGTAGATGGATGAGCAGCTTCCTCCCGGCTAACAGCCCCCAGTGCCATGCGGTGCCATTAACCGACCGGGGGCCACATCTCCATCAGAACACCCGGGCAAGCCTAGCGTGAGCACAGCTCTCCTCTATCTCTTGGGTGCCTCTTATTTCCCATTTGGGTCTATGCCCCATAAGGCTGCGTCTAGGTAAACTGGCCGGCACTGCAAGCATCCTCCCCGCAGCACCCCCGACCGGTACTCACAGCCTCTCTGCGTTCCGGGGGACGCCTCGTGGCACCGCTTTGAGCCCCAGTCCATGGCAATCCACGTTAGATCCGGAGCAGGTACATTTGCCAGGGCATCCTTCAGAGGGCGACCAAAGCGTGACGCTCCACAGCCCCAGAAGCAGCAGCCCTAACCGCGAACTCTTTCGCCCGGTCGCCAGCATGCTCGCCTTCTCTCCTGCCATACGCGGGGCGCAGCGAACCCAGGAGCCTCGGATCCCAGCAGCAGCCGGCGCAGGAGCCCCGCAGCAATCTCAGCACATCCGAAGGAAGCACATCCCTTTCCGATTCCCGGGCGAAAGCCCAGGCAAAGCAGGATCAGGGGGAGTCCCGGGGGGAAACCGGCCCGATCGGCCCGTCCCACTCTTCGTGCCCGAGGCACAACCTGCGCCGCTCTGCCTAGTCCAGGTGACCTGCCGGGGGGGAAAGGCTGCAGGAGGTCGGCAGTCCAGGCATTCACACGGCCAGCCACTCCCGCCTTGGAGAGCCCAGCATGGCCCCTGGAGGAGGCGGCGGCGGCGGCGGCAGCAGCACCCAGATCCCGCGATCGGAGCCACCGGAGCTGGGGGAGATCCAGGGGCGCTCACCGCCGGCCGCCCGCCTCTCCATGGACTGGGCAAGGCAGAGCAGGCGGACACCGGAGCCGCGGGAGCCTCCCCCTCCCCAAAATATCACCTTCGGCGCCGATTGGCGGCCGTGCCGCTGACGTCATCAAACTTCGGAACTTTGGCAGGCGAAGGTAGGGCGAAAGTTTTGGGAGCGTGGCTCGCTGCCGAGCGGAGCGGCGGCGCGCATCGCCGCCGAGGCTGGTCGCTGCGTTTGCGGAGCCACACGGGCTAATCCGGCGTCAGCAACCGAGTAACACTTCAACAACGAACAAGTGCATTACAGTGCAAAGAAACTGCAACGAAAGAGAGAAGGAGAGCGAGCGAAAGAGAGAGGGGAGAGAGCGTCTCTGAGCGTGAGCAGAGTGCCTCTTTCTTACCGCAGCCAGTCTTCGCACAGTTGGCATCCCGGCAAGGATAGACTTTCATTCCTCCTTTTAGGAATGACCGTTGGTCAGCTATGCCTCGCCGCCCCTCGTCTCCATCGAGGCTGAGGTAACTACTACTTTTGAAAACATTCCTTCGCATTTCTGCTTGATCTGAGAGGATTCTACACCGGAACCATAGAGATTAGATACTTCATTTATTTGGACAGGTGTTTTCTAGCAAAGACCAAGCTCCCAACCTTTAAGAAGACCTTTAACTCTATCGGGTGAGGTTTTTCTAGAAATACAGGACTATATAGAGTGGATACTAATCAGAATTTCATAGCTTACACAGTACATTTTGTATCCTAGTCTGATCTCTTCCATAGCCAAAAATATTGAAGAATCTATTCTCTATGCTTAAAAAAATAAGCTGTGATCTTACCTCCCAGAATCCCATGGCAATCATGCGTGACTGAGGAATGCTGGGAAATGTAGTAGATTTTTTTTTCCTGTCTAAACATGCATAGGGTTGCACCCTAAGGGCACTTTTGTACACCTAAGTACCCAGGAGAAAAAGTTGACAGTGACATTGAGTGAGCTGCAATGCCTCAAGCATAATCCTTCATCTTTAAAATACAATAACTGAAATAATGTTTCTGAAGTGTTTGGATACTTCTAAACAAACCCCAAAGAAGTGCTATACAAATAAATCAACATTTCTTCAGTGCTTAAGTCATCATTGGGCGCCCTCATGCAGAGCGGAAATTCTGGGGATAAGAAAACAAGACTGATTTCTGGCACATATAAATTAAGTACTGCTTAAAACTGAGGAATTTGTTGCCATTCTTTTCAAGTCAAAAAATTCACTCCCCTTTTCAGAAAAGCTTTAGGACACAGTCGTCTGTCTTTAGGCTGGAAAAGGCCCTACATCTCCCAACATTTCTCAGCCAGCCAAGGTGGCTAGGTAGGATTTTTTCAGTCTAAACCAGGGATCCTGAATGAGTGATTGGCTGATCTCAGGCTTCCAAGGAGCAGCTCTGCCCTAGACAGGCATAACCTCCTGACATGTTGTCTTTACTTCAGAAATAAGAGTTCTGCTCTCCCTCCGCACTGCCCTCCTACTCCATCCTCACATTGCTTTGGCTGCCTGGAAGCCTTCTGTTCCTGGATCTCTGAATTGTGACATATATGGAAGGATATAGTTATTCTTCCTTAAGGAGAAAAAAAGAAACCGTCTTCTGTGCCACCAAGTACATGAATTTCAAAAGCCATGCATAAGGTGTGCTTCTGCTTCATAGAACTGACCTAACTTTGAGTGTCACCAAAGCAAGGAGGAGAGAGTGGGGCAGTTGAATTGCACTCTGCACATGGCAAGGGATGTAATGAATTCCTCACCAAGGAAAATGGAAGCAATCCTCTGAGGACTAAAGAGAGGCACTTGGAGTTCTTTGTGACCTGCCCTATTATGGAGACCATATTGATTCTAGAGAACAACACATTCATTAACATATATGGCTTTACTGGGCAGCAGGGAAGTAAAAGTTGCCTTTTGCCACATTACTCTGTTACTCATTTCAAGAAATAATAACTTTAATTCAATCCTTGTGGTTCTTATATTTGTTATTTCCTTATGTGGCAACTTCAGTGTGCTCCTGGTATCTAAAGTCATGGACAAAATGCATAGCAGCCTCAGCATTTCAGATACTGACTAGTACTGGGGAAGCGCAAAAGCCTTCAGTCCCCTTTTTCCCTGGCTGGATGTCTAGTTTCTGCTACACTGTCCGGGTTCCCAGACACACATTTATAGTTAGCAGTAGTGAGGGAACCACCCAACATGCTAGCCTTTTATATAGAATCCTCAAGTTCCCAAAGTTTCAAGGAAATCGCATTTTTGTTATTTTTCCCCACTCTTGTACTACCCTCTGGTGGTAGAAATGCTTTACATTTTTAACCAGTCTTAACTTTCCCAATAGGTAGTTTAGTCCTTAGAGGTTGAATGTTAATGGTTGCCTAGAAATCAGAAAATCTCTTCATCTTTAGAGGTTGCAGTGGGAAAAGTCAGCTCTGCTTCTAAGCAGTTCTCTTCCTTCTCTGGGTCAGTTCTGGTGTCTGCTTGCTATGCCTTTTGTTGTTACTTTAATAAATTACAGATGCAGGGAGGGGATTTTGACCGGGATGCAGTGTGTGGGGAGGCTTACCACTTCTTTCTCGGTGCAGTTAGAATAAAAATCTGCTACACACACACACTGCTAGGAGCACTGGGGGACAGTTTCCATTCACACCAATGGGAACATTTTTCTATGGGTTCTAGCCATTTCAGTTGCATTGGGAAGGGAAGACCTTCCCCATGTGCTGCATTCCTGATACAGATCACCTGTTTGTCTCTCCATCACACACACACCTGTAATTAATTAAAGTAAGAAATGGAGGTGTAGCTGGATGCTGTGTGTTAAACATAATGTGACAGTCATACTAATTCAGTCCGGCATTTCATTTCAGTGAAAGCGAATTACTGCACACAGGTCTAGACATCACACCTAAGCAAGGGCATTGCAGAGTTTGATACAGTGCAGAAAAGGGCAACTGAGATGATTAAGGGTCTCTAGCAATTCTCATGTGAGGTAAGACTTGTCTGGGACTGCTTAAGCAAAAAATGAATGGAAAAGACATGATAAAAGTGTATAAAATTATGCTTGGTGTGAAGGACGTAGCTATGGAGATATTTTTCTCTACCACAATACTAGAACTCGGGGTCAGCTGAATGTATGTATACTATATACTCCTACATGGTGCATATGTAGCAAGACATGTTATTAGAGATACTTACACATGAACGTAACAAAGGCAGCCATGTCCATTTGCAAATTGTGCCTAAAAACCACCCATTCAGAAGTCAGAAATTGCAAGTTCTCCATCCTTAGTATTATTGCAGCTGGCTCTTTATCCTTCTAATGTTTGTGATATTAAATGTTTTGCTGTCAAAAGAATACAGAGAATCCATTTATGTAGACCTTGCATGAAAGTCCAAGAAACAACTAAATAAGAGCATGCATATCTATAAATATTAAAGAATATTTCATCACAGAGTTTATCTGAATTATTACCTCCTTCCAAAAGAATGTAGTCATTGGACACTGCCAAAACATAAGAATAAGAGAAGCATAAGCCGCATTGCACCTTCACCGATTAGATTATTTAATTAGGTCTTTGTTGAAATGATGTGATGGCCTCACCCTGCTGTACCTGCTTTGCATTTCTCCATCCAGAGTACTCCTCTCTCTGCACTGTTCTGGCTGGCCCTGGACCATCTGCCCACCTCCACCCCATTCAGCAGATTTATCCATCGCAGCCACAATTTGTTGACCCTGTCACTGAGGGACAGTACCATGTCCATGAAATTGGTATTTCAAATGGATTTCATTTTTGAAAAGTGAAATATATCAAGGATGAAGCTGTAAGAGTTTTTTTCTGTCTAAACATGCATAGGATTGTGCTGTAAGTGCATGATGAAGTTAGACAATGACAGGGTGAGCAGTCAAGGAAAATGTGAAAAAAACATGTATTATTCCAAACTTTGAAAACATGGAAATGTAAGCTTCCAGTTTATTTGCTGAAACATATCCATTCAAGCAAGTGGCATTGAACTTCTTTTTAATTAAGTATCTTAGAAATGAAGTATTATCTCCAGTACCCATGTTGTGCAGCTTCTGCAACCTGAAATCTCAGTTCTTTTAATATGAACATTAATATCTGTCACTTTGAAGAGTTTGAATTTTCTAAGTGGAAAGTGTGCAGCTGGAAAGGGGGACAGTAAAGATATGCATATCCAGGTCAGAAGCATGTGCCATGTCCACAGTGACAGCCACATGCATGCAGCATTAATGAGGCTCACGTTTCTTTAAAAGCTCTGAAGCAACAGTTGGGAGAAGACCAGGGTACAGTCACATGCCTACCCTTATTTCAAGCCTAGATCCATTGCTAACAAGGAACTGCCCCCACACTTCAGAAGAAGCAAAGCTTGCTGTGTGTGATAGGCCTGGAACACTTCCCATGCCAATGAAGTATACAACAACCAAGACACCTTCTCTGGAAACACACCTGACAGAGCAAGACTTGGGGAAGTAGAGACACTTCTCCATGGATTTTTAAAATGCACCTTGAATAAAACTCTCCCTCATCTCTAGACTTCCTTGCAATAAACAATCCCAGCAGCAGGGTCAGTCTGACCATCTGGTCAAGTGAGGCGGATGCTGGTGGGAGGCAGCAGTGTGCTGCTGGAAGACCAAGCTATGGGTTTTATGCAGTCTGCCCCATAAACCCTGAGCTATCTTGCTGTTCTAGGTGTGGTGGAGGATGCTGTCTCATCCCCCAGTGCTGACATCAGGTTCTACTACCAGTTGAGTTGGCTCCTACATGTAACATGTTGGAGGGGCACACTTTTATTTAACAAAATATCAGGCAGAAAAATGTGTGGGGCTGGCCCTTCCCTCCCTTGGGTGACTGTTTCTCTAGCATGGTCACATGGATGGCCTATAGCTGAAGAACTGAAAGGAACAGAGGGAGGGCTTCAGACGAAAGCAGCAATAAGGAAACAAGTATGGTCATTTAAGGAATACAGACCTTGGGACCGGAGAT